ACCCGGAGGCCATTCCCTTGAGGAACATGACAACAAGAGTGATTGCACGGGAGCTGCTTCACCTGTTCAGCCGAGTTGGGATTCCTAAAGAGATGCAAACAGACCAAGGCACTCCCTTCATGTCCAAGATAATGAAGGATCTCTGCAGGCTCTTCAAGGTAAAGCAGCTTCGTACATCTGTCTACCATCCTCCGACAGACGGATTGGTAGAACGCTTTAACAAGACATTGAAATCCATGTTAAAGAAGGTTGTTGACAAGGATGGTCGTAACTGGGACCAGCTTCTGCCTATAGGCTATGTCCTGTTTTCAATCAGGGAAGTTCCACAGGCTTCAACCGGTTTCTCCCCCTTCGAGCTGCTGTATGGCCGACAGCCCAGAGGACTTCTTAACATTGCGAAGGAAGCCTGGGAGGAGCAACCAAGCCCCCATCGGAGCCTGATTGAGCATGTAGAGACAATGCAGGCGCATATGAAAGATGTTTGGCCCATGGTGAGAGAGCACATGGCTCAAGCCCAAGAAGCCCAGAGAAAAGTGTATAACAGAGGTGCCCAACCGCGTGAGTTCCTGCCTGGGGATAAAGTGCTTCTCCTGGTCCCCACCACAGAACACAAATTCCTGGCATCGTGGCAAGGTCCCTATGAAGTGGCAGAGAAGGTGGGACCAGTCAATTACAAGGTACGCCAACCTGGCCGTCGGAAACCATCACAAATATACCATGTTAACCTGTTAAAGAAATGGTACGAGAGGCACTGCTGTGTTCTTCCCCGGTTGTGTCCCCCTCTTCTCCAGACCCTAAGACTCCTAACCCGAAGTTGAATACGGTCCAGGGCTATCCAAAGCTCAGTTACAGCAAACCAAGGAACTGGTTCAGCAGAGTTTGGATGTGTTCTCACTATGACCTGGACGCACAACGATGGTGGAACACCAAATCCACACAGAGCCGGGCCAAAAGGTAAAGATGCGGCCTTTCCCCTTACAGACCTGACCGGAGACTCACAGCCGCTAATGGTCAAGTGGACAGGAGAGGCTGAACACGCCTTTGAGGGACTGAAGAGGGCTTTCTGTGCACGGCCAGTGTTGGTGACCCCAGACTTCAGCCGGGGGATGATTGTGCAGACGGATGCGTCAGAGGTGGGCATAGGAGCAGTACTATCAGGTGTGGAGACCTCACACCTGGTGCTAATCACTCCCTCAAGGGAGACAACGCACACAGAGTTGCTCAGTTGTGGGTGGCGCATGAAGGGAGCAGGAGGCTCCCAGTGTAAGGAAACATTTTGGAAAGCTGGTAAGTCGGTTAGCGGCCCGGCTACGTTAGCCTTTGTTTAATGGAAGGTATTTTTGAGTTTGATAGCAATAAAGCCTCTTTTTGGATTTGAATACTGCCTCTGTCGTGATTGCTGCACTACCACTTTCCTCTATCTGCCCAGTCCTGTTACAGTGTGTGTGTATATACTGTATATACATATATATATATATATATTAGGGCTGTCAAGTTAACGCGTTAATACAAAAAAATTAACGCCACTAATTATTTGAACGCGATTAACGCATGTGTATTTTTTTTCAGAGCGCATCGAGTTTAAAATACCATCTACAAGCTGATGCTGACAGCCCCGCTCCTGCTGCCTGCTTGCGGCAGACCACACTTCCACGCTCACCGGCAGGCACCGACTGGCTATTGGGAGGACCGGGAGGCCCGAGCGAGCGAGAGAGAGACCTTACGTGCATTGTTGTTGTTAGCATCTGGTGCTAGCTAGCTGCGCTAACGGATATAAGGAGCTGTTTAAATGAAAACAGAGGAGCGACATTTCGCCACAACTGCGCCGAGCAATTGACTTTATGCAGGAAGCCAGACAGTGGGACATTGTCCGAGAAGTCAGCACACTCAGCACGGATAGTGCGCAACATGATTGCAACGTCCAGGCAGCTCCCGTTCGAGCATATGCCTTGAGTTGCACATAGCTCCAACGATCCATCACACACACACACACACACACACACACACACACACACACACACACACACACACACACACACACACACACACACACACACCATTTGTATTGTATTATTGTATGAGAGATTCCAGGTTGAATTGAGGCGAATATTTGCAATGTTCAGAGGTTGTTGTGTTTAATATTCATGAGACTATTTGTCATTGTTCAAATAATAAACATTAGCATAAAGCATATTTGTCCACTCATATGTTGATAAGAGTATTAAAAACTTAAAAAGATTCCTCTAAGGTACATTTAGAACAGATCAAAAATGTGCGATTAATTTGCGATTAATCGCGATTAACTATGGACAATCATGCGATTAATCGCGATTACATATTTTAATCGACTGACAGCCCTAATATATATATATATATATATTAGGGCTGTCAAACGATTACAATTTTTAATCAGATTAATCACAGCTTAAAAATTAATTAATCATGATTAATCACCATTCGAACTATGTCCAAAATATGCCATTTATTTATGTATATTGTTGTGGGAATGGAAAGATAAATGAAAGAAGGCGGATATATCCATTTAACATACAGTATCTATGTTTATTATAACATTTTTCTGCGTGTCAAAATGAAAGACAGCCCACACACCTATCAATCATCAAACCGTGGGGTCTTAATTCATTACGTGTTGATTTCTATCAACAGGGGGGGGTCGGGGGGCGCGGCGGCTAGTGGAGTACTTCGTGACCACAGTGTGAACGTTGTGATCAGCTGTTTTAGCGCAGTTCTCCAGTGAAGGGGGGAGTCTCCCTCCGCAGCCGGTTGGCGTAGTTTTGGCACAATTCCGTTGTACAGACCGACGTTAACAGCAGCCCTGTCTGTGCACACGGAGACCGACTCTGTCGTCCGGTGATCTAACCGCCTTCTGGAAAAGCTTCACAAGTATGTCGGTACGCAAATGCGCTTTGTGACACAAGTGACGGTACGCATTTCAGATTACGCACATAACCTGCGTACCAGTTATGTGCACCCCTGTACTACAGCTAAAGTATTCTCCGTCGGGACTTCCTGCAACAACACCACGCCGTTATCAAAGATGTTCTATTGAGAAGACGATCACTATGTGACAAAAGTTTTCAAAACCGTGGCTACTGAAATCAATCTTACTAACTGCTGTCTGTGCAATTTACTCCGCGCGAGTTGGCAGACTATATTTTGCTTACTTTAACATCATTTTTCATGGTGGGGCTAAGCCATTTCTTGGTATGGGTGTAGCCTACCCCAGCCATACCCTGGCGCTGCCACTGGTGGCACGTATGGGGCGGGCCATTCTGCACATGCAGAATATTTTAACGCAATTAATTCAAAAAATTAATTACCGCCGTTAACGCGATAATTTTGACAGCACTAATATATATATATATATATATATATATAGTCACAAAACCCAATGTCCCTTGGGATAAATGAAGTACTCTGAATCTGATGATTCTGAATAGGACATACTATCAGCCAAGAAGAGCATGGATGCAAATGATTAAAATATAACCAATGGCTTTCTTTTCATAATTTGTTTGGAGGAAAACACTTCATACTGATGACACTCACTCCACCACAACAAATAGTTTGCTTGGAGGTTTGTTTAAGGTCTCTGTCGATATATGGACTCTCCCCCAGTGTTCCTAATTTCATATTTGTTCCTTGGAAATTGAAACTCCATATTTCCCCAAAACTGCTGCTACACTTTATCTCAATTGTTCTCTTCTTTACAACATGTATACAATGCGAAATACATACACAGAATGTATTTCTCCTCTTAAAATAAAGATATTTAATAAAGCACAGATCATCACAAGATGGTACTTTTATTTGTTCTGTATTCTTTTTTTTGTGAATGGAGGAATACCTTTTATTCAGAGGACACCTCTTTTTGGGGGGGATTAGGACAGGGTTTGAAATTCCTGCATTCTATAGACATTTTTGTTTGTTTATAGATTTATTTTTACATTTTAACACAAGATTTAACTATTTTCCTATTTTATTTACTAGTGTGCTTCAAACGAAAGATTTTTTGGCAAAGTGTATCACGATTTTTGTAAAATCCTAAAACAGACCCAGGGATTGGTCATGCTTCAGTTTTCTCTAATTCTAAAACTCCATATTTTCATTCATTCATTCATTCAACTACTTGTCACATTCAGAGTGAAGAACCGAGTGCAACACAATAAACGGCAGAGGAGACACTGTCTGAAAGTGTGTGCTTGTATTGTACAATATATATATAGTGTTTTCCAAGACTAAAATGAGGTTGATGAGTTAGCATAGGAACAGCGGCTGTTATAATAATATATTTTATTTGTAAAGCACCTTTCATCGCCAAAAAGTAATCCCAAGGGGCACAATAGAAAAAAGAAACACAAGTTTAATCAAAGGCTTTTTTTTAAAAGAAAAGTTTGTAGGCCTTTCTTAAAGGAGTCAGTGGTCTGGGAGGGAATTCCACAGGTGAGGAGCAGCTGCACAGAAAGCCCGATCCCCCATGGGGCGCAGTTTGGTCCTGGGGGGGGGGGGGGCTGAAGCAGATGATTGGTTGTGGAATGGAGGTTGTGTGTAGAGGTTTGTGATGAGAGTAGTTATTTGAGGTATGAAGGAGCGTTCCCGTGGATGCACTGATGGGTGAGCAGTGAGATCTTGTATTCGATCCTGAATGAGACAGGAAGCCAGTGAAGAACGGGTGTGATGTGATTATACTTTCTCACCCTCATCAGGATCCTAGCGACACTGTTCTGTATGTATTGGAGCTTCTGAAGGCTCCCGCTAGGAGTCCCGATGAGGAGAGCGTTGCAATAGTCAAACCTTGTAGTCAAGCGTTGCAGTAGTCCAGCCTTGAGGAGACTATGAGCACAATTGTCTCCTCTGCCTCCACCTGTGCTAATTCAGAACAGTAGCTGGTCAACCCCTGCAAACAGAAGGACCTTCCAAATAAAGGTGTCAGTGTCTGTGCTGGGATCTGAAGGCCTGCAGATGTGGAGGATACTCACCAGGTCCAGCAGTCTGTACAGAGTCTCTAGAAGGTCCTCGGACGTCTTGGAGGGCAGCAGACCTCTCAGCCTCTGGCTCACACTCATTAAGGGACTCCTGTTGGCTCCTGAAGGGAGGAGGGAGAAGGCAGGCACTCTTGACATGGTTCCATAAATATGTATAGTTGCCAACTCATAGAGTCAATTTGCACAATTAGCTTAAGTTGTGTTAATTGGCATTAATTACCATTTATAGTCTATGTGGACAATAGTGTGGACAGAAAATGTACATTTGTATTCTCTGTGGGCTGATTATGATGGTGTGGGGACTCTGGATCATTTGGATTGGACTGACTGCTTATTTATTTGAAAAAGAATTGTCCACAGTGGAGAAAATAATGCAATTTGATCTTGTGCTCTCTATATCCAATTGTCGCAACACTACTCACGGTAATCAAAAACAGCCCACGAGAGTACAAATATGGCCACTTTCTGGTTAAAACTGCAATTTTTAATCCTTACTCAGCATCCTCAATAACCCCCAAAACACTCAAATTGTCAAAATCGGCCAAGCCATTAAAAAAAAACAATGGTTTACATATAGGCCAGTGCTTCTCAAAGTGTGGTCCGGGGACCACTGATGGTCCATGAGCGCACCTTAGTGGTCCGTGAGTATATTGGTAAAATTTCACATTTGAAATAAATGTATTTATTTAAGTTTTCCGCACTCTCGCGGGAACATCTCCGCAATGGAGCTTAAGTTCCAGCGCAACACCTTCGTCACACATGTTGCCACTTGTTTGTACTATTTTCAGGCGATCCAAAAAACAATGGATGTATTTTATGAACATTTATCCATGCTGGAAGTAGATTTAGATGTTTTAGGAGTGAGATAGAGATTATTATCTAATATATGCATCCAATGGCATTGCATGAAGTCTGTTGATGATCAGAGGCTGTTGTTGGGGCTGCATAAACGTTTTTTATTTTTGTTTTGTAGGCAGACCATGCAGGCCAGCCCGACGGTCACCAAGGTTCATGTTTTAATAGCATTTTTTTTTTAAAAAAGCCCACGCGAGCCTAACATGTGAAAAAATTGCTTAGAGAGTTAAACTTGGGCCTGCGACCATACAGTAGTTTTACTGTATTTTGTTTTGAAAATCCACAGCGGAGGTTTGTGTCGTACTACATGCGGTGTATTTTGCATTTCTCTCAGTAGCCAATGATCTGTGAGTCTGTTAGCTCGGATATAAACTCCGTAATAAATTCCTATTGTTTTTGGATATTTGGGGAGTTAGGTGGTCCGCGAGTGTTTTTTTATTGGTTATGAAAAAGTTTGAGAAACACTGATATTGTCAGGATTCTCATGTTTTGTCACATTTGTAGTTTTGTATGTCTGGTTATGGGTATTTTCCTCCTTGTATATTGTCTGGTCCTTCTTCCTGTGTTTTTCCCCTGTCGTTAGTTTCCCTGGTGTGTCTAGTTGTCTGATTGTTTTCATCTGTGGCCCTTGTGTTTCTCCTCCCCTACCCGGCTGTTTCTCGTCTTGTGATTACCCCTTCCTGTATTTAGTCTTGTCTCTTCCTGTGTTCAGTGTCGGTTCGTCTTGTGTATTGACGTGGTCTTCGGTGAGTGTCCTGTTCTGTCTGTACGTATATATAGCCTTGAAATAAAGGAAGTATTTTTGTCACTTAATCTGTAGTGATGGCGAGATGAAGCCTTATGAAGCTTTGAAGCTTTCCAGCCAATTGGTTCGCAAAAGGGTTCATCTCATGAGGCTTCATCATGGGCTTCATTTGAACACAAACCCCCCTGTTGGTCAAAGTGTGTAAAACAGGCAGATTGGACATCTCAACAGTGTGCTCTATCTCATACCGAGTTCCCATTGAGTAAAGCCTTAGCATAACTCTAAACAACGAACATAAAATCATATTTTCATGTTAACAATATTGTTTTTATTCCAGTTGAATGATTGTGATTGAAAAGCCTAAGGAGGCTGGTAAACATTGCAAAGAGGGATTTGTATTCCTTACTAATATTCATAAACGTAACCATGTTGTAGCCTGAGAAAGGCTAAACCATATCAAAGAATACATTTATTAACTACATTATCTCATTTAGCTGTAGCTTTTATAAACAACAAAAAAGACGTATTGACGAGTCATTGAACCAGGAACCCTGCGATCGTGAGTCAACTGCTTTCCAGCTGAGCCACAGCACACACGCTGAATCTCCCTGAAAATACTGTAACATATTTATTCCTGTATTTATTCATTCATGTTTTTTTTCCTACATTTATTTATGCTTGTATCTATTTATACTTATGACATGTTCCGACCTCTATATAGGTGAGGTTTTGAGCTCTTTTAATTCCATCGTGTCACCGGGCCCGGGTACAGGAGGGGTAATATCGTTCTTATTATACATCCATAGGTAATATGAGCGTTGTGGTTCAACGGTTCAACCGATCTGAATCGCTTCCTGAAGCAGTCACGTGGTATCGACAGGCAGCGAGGCTTCGTTTGTCATCGATGACGTCACTGGCCCAAAACGATACAAGCCTCGACACATGCTTCACAAAAAGCTTCGGGGATTACTCGACACACGCTCCGAAGCCTCGGCGCAATACGTAACATCACTATTAATCTGCATTTGGGTCCTGCTTCCTACACACACCGTAATATTACGAACCGACCAACATTATGGGCCCAGCAGATTTGTTTGAGCTGGAACTAGTGGATTATACCGCTTCTTTGTCTGACTACGCTCATCAATGGATAGGAGCGGTCAGGGTTCAGCAGCGAGATGCTGCTCTGGCAGATGCAGTCACCCTTACGCTGAGGAATCAAGATTTGGTCAAATTCTTACCGGCCTGGCTTTTGGATTACCTCACAGTTTGTTTTCCCGATCCTGATAGACCCAGGTCTCCAGATTCCCTCTTTGATACCACACGCATCGGTGTGGTCCGTCTGGCGTCAGCCCCTGCTTCTCACCTAGTGTTTGCTACAGTCCAGGAACCATTCGCTGGTACTCGTCTGGCCTTTGGAGGTCCACGGAGCCTCCAAACGGCTCCTAAGAGGAGTCGCAAGGCCAGGTTAGCAGCACGAGCCCAAAAGGCCATGGTTCCAGAACCAGTTCAGCCCCCAGCAGCCATGGTTACAGCCCCAGTACAGGCCCCAGCAGCCATGGTTTAAGCTCCAGTCCCGGCCCCAGCAGCCATGGTTCCAGACCCAGTCCCGGCCCCAGCTGCCATAGTCCCTTCTTTAGTCCCTTCCCTAGTCCCTCCTCAGGTCACTTTCATAGTCCCTTCTCTAGTCCCTTCTCCAGTCCCACCTCTAGTCACTTCTCTAGTCACTTCTCAAGTACCAACTCTAGTCCCATCTCAAGTCCCTTCTCTAGTCCCTACTCAAGTCCTTTCTCAAGTCCTTTCTCAAATCCCTCCTCTAGTCACTTCCCTAGTCCCTTCTCCAGTCCCTCCTTTAGTCCCCTCTCTAGTCCCTCCTCTAGTCCCTTCTCTAGTCCCTCCTCAGGTCACTTCCCTAGTCCCTTCTCTAGTCCCTACTCAATTCCTTTCTCAAGTCCTATCTCTAGTCCCTCCTCTAGTCACTTCCCTAGTCCCTTCTCCAGTTCTCCCTTTAGTCACCTCTCTAGTCCCCTCTCTAGTCCCTCCTCTGGTCCCTTCCCGAGCTCCTTCTCTAGTCCCATCTCTAGTCCCACCTCTAGTCCCACCTCGAGTCCCCTCTCCAGTTCCCTCTCAGGTCTCCTCTCGAGTCCCCTTTCGAGATCCCTCTCAAGTCACCTCTCAAGTCACCTCTCGAGGTCCCTCTCGAGATCCCTCCTCTAGTCCCTCCTCTAGTCCCCTCTCGAGTCCCCTCTCGAGTTCCCTTCTCTAGTTCCTCCTCTAGTCCCTCCTCTAGTCTCTCCTCTAGTCCCCTCTGGAGTCCCCTCTCTAGTTCTCCTCTGGAGTCTCCTCTGGAGTCCCCTCTCGAGTTCCCCCTTGGTTCCCCTCTCAAGTCTCCTCTCGAGTCCCCTCTCGAGTCACGTCTCAAGTCCCTACCCAATGTCCTGGTCCGTTGGAGGTTCCGCTGGGGGTCCTGCCAACTCCATGTCCTGTCCCGTTGGAGGCCCCGTCGACTACTCCTCTGCCGGGGGTCCTACCAATCGTATGTCTGTCCCGTTGGAGGTCCCGCCGTCTACTCTCCTGCCGGGGGTCCTGCCAACCCTTTGTCCTGTCACGTTGGAGGTCCCGCCATCTACTCTCCTGCCGGGGGTCCTGCCAATCCTATGTCCTATGCCGTTGGAGGTCCCGCCGACTACTCTCCTGCCGGGGGTCCTGCCAACCCTGTGTCCTGTCCCGTTGGAGGCCCCGCCGACTATTCTCCTGCCGGGGGTCCTGCCAACCCTTTGTCCTGTCTCGTTGGAGGCCCCGCCGACTACTCTCCTGCCGGGGGTCCTGCCAACCCTTTGTCCTGTCTCGTTGGAGGTCCCGCCGTCTACTCTCCTGCCGGGGGTCCTGCCAACCCTTTGTCCTGTCCCGTTGGAGGTCCCGCCGTCTACTCTCCTGCCGGGGGTCCTGCCAATCCTTTGTCCTGTCTCGTTGGAGGTCCCGCCGTCTACTCTCCTGCCGGGGGTCCTGCCAACCCTTTGTCCTGTCTCGTTGGAGGTCCCGCCGTCTACTCTCCTGCTGGGGGTCCTGCCAACCCTGTGTCCTGTCACGTTGGAGGCCCCGCCGACTACTCTCCTGCCGGGGGTCCTGGCAACCCTTTGTCCTGTCTGGTTGGAGGCCCCGCCGACTACTCTCCTGCCGGGGGTCCTGCCTACCCTGTGTCCTGTGCCGTTGGAGGCCCGGCCGACTACTCTTCTATCGGGGGTCCTGCCAACCCCATGTCCTGTTTCGTTGGAGGCCTCGACATCACATGTCTCACTGGGGGTCCTGCCTACTCCTGGTCCTCTTCCGTGGGAGATCCTGCCGAAGCCTGTCCCACCGGCTCCGGTTCCTGTCCGGCCGACACCGGGTCCTGCCCGGCCTCCGGAGCTGTCCCGTCAGCGCTTTCCTGCCCGGCCTCCGGAGCTGTCTGGTCTTCGCCCTCGAGCCCGGCCCCCTGAGAGCCGCAGTCTTCGCCCTCTATCCCGGCCCTCTGTGAGCCGCGGTCTTCGCCCGCGATCCCGGCCCCCTGACTCTTCCTGCCACTGCCCTCGCCCTCGGCCCCCTGACTCTTCCTGCCGCTGCCCTCGTCCTCGAGCCCGGCCCCCTGACTCTTCCTGCCGCTGCCTTCGCCCTCATGCCCGGCCGCCCGAGTCCCCCACCTTAGACTCTGCCTTGCCCCCGGGCCGTCCGCCCGAGACCCCTTCCTTGGACTCTGCCTTGCCCCCGGGCCGTCCGCCCGAGACCCCTTCCTGGTCCTCTGCCGTGCCCCTGGGCTGTCAGCCCAAGACCCGTCCTCCGGACCCCCTCCGCCCACCCTGGTGGCCCTGGTTTTGCCATGTTAATTGTGCAACATATGCAAGTTAGCAGTTTCTATGTGCTGGGGACACGTACTATACATTTCTACCATAAAATGTTGGGTTACTCAGCATTTCTGGGTTCACTATTCTGGCAACTAGACTATATTGTTATAGTTAAGAACACATAAGCACTTTTGCAATTTTGTTATAGGTGTTAAATTGTTAAAAATGCTGAATAAGCACCATAACTTTGATTATCCGTGTGTGTCGCGATCAGTTGTTTCTGTGAACGGCCAAATTATGCTTCATTTTAAATGTTGCGGCATTATCTTTTCCACTTTATTCTATGCTAAGAAAGGTACCAAGCAGCATTGAGGTTCCATTCCTATTATTTAGAGCATTTTTTTTCAACATTTGCCAGAATAATTTTATAGATTACATTTCATTAAAAGAACTTGAGGTCTGTCATATTTAGTAAGTTTCTGCTTAAGTGAATTTAAAAACGTGAGCCTTTTCCCACACACTTGCCTTCAGCCTTGCTGTGTTGTGCGTTGCCTTCAGCCCGCAGCAGGAAGTGATCGCTGCGTTTCCTCAGCTGCTGTTCAAAGGCGATCCGAAAAGCATCTGCAACCATTAACGCCTCCTCTCTCCTCAAATGCTGAGCGTCCAGCTGGAAACACACCGAACACACACACAAAATAATGTACATGCTTTACTGACATACTCAGTTACACTTACTGTAGGTAAACATAGGTACCATTAACTCTGAATCTAAAAAGATATTTTCATATTTTTGGTTTATATGGTTGGTTTAAAAAACATTGACAAAATTCAGGACATAACCAAAAGCCGCTGAGAGGCTGCTTGGTTTTGTCTGATGTATTAAAAAATACACGACTGAGACTGTATTGAGCAGATCTTATTTTAAGCAAAAAAATAATCAACGTATTATACTGAAATAATCCAGCTACCAAAAGTAGCAATCAACAAGAAATACAGCCAGCCTCTCAACGCTCTCACACACACACACACGTCACACACAGGTGAACACGGGATTATGTCATTATATGAGTGTCGCCCTTATACATGTGAAGCTACCACACAATACAGTAATAAAGGATAAAACCGACAAGTCTCCAAATATTAACCATTTTCCACTTTGTGAGATTAATGGTTCCTGAACAAGTGACTTTAAAGGGAGAGCAGCTGCTACACGTTAGGAACACCAATGAAGAAGAGAGAGACGGAGCTTAGCACAGGTGAAAAGGTTCAATAATAAAGTTAAGGGACTTCCCTTTAACATTTTACACACATAGATTTGGACTTGATATTGAATATTCCTGTACTTTCTGTAATTTACAAGAAGAAAGTATTTGCCATTTATTTGATGAATGGCAAACACTATGATATATATAATATGTATTGTAGAATGTATTGTATTGTAGAATGTTTTTTTAAGAAAAATAAAAAAGAGATGGCCTGACTGCAAACAACATTTTGAAAATGTTTACCAAGAACAATACAAATATAGAAGCACTATTAAAAACATTATGAATAAAAAGGCAATCAAAACTGTAACATCTTGGTGAATACAAGATCTTTGATTACAGAGATCACGTTGATGACGTAATGCGTGTGCTGTGCATGTTACGCGCCAGTTGAATAAAGATGGACACTCGGAATGAGAGAAGTAGTCCGCTTCATCTGTCTATGTAGACACAAACATGTCCATAGAACAGAATATTACATGGTGTCAGAGTTAGTTCATTTATCATCGACCTGACGACGGAAGATGGAGAACACAGGCGTTCCAACACCACGAATGGACTGGGACTCGTCTAATCTGCCGGACGCATGGAGAAAGTTTCGGCAGCATGTACAGCTAATGTTTTCAGGCCCGCTACATGCTAAAGACGAGGAGGAAAAATGTAGCTATCTACTCCTATGGATTGGGGAAAAAGGCAGAGATGTCTTTTACACATGGACTCTCACAGAAGACCAAAGTAAGGTACTAAAAACGTACTATGGCGGTTTTGAAGCTTATGTAACTCTGAAAGCAAATCCCATATTTGCACGCTATAAATTTTATGAAAAAATCCAAGGAGACAATGAGAGTTTCGACCAGTTTGTAACGGAGCTAAAATTGCTAAGTAAAGACTGCAACTACCCAAATAGTGAGGAAATGATTAGAGACAGGAATGTCTTTGCTACAAACTCACAAAGAGTGCGCGAAAAACTGCTATGTCACGGTCCAGACTTGATGCTAGAGAAAGCCATTGACATTGCACGTTCACATGAGCTATCACAGCAGCAGCTAAAGACAATGCTAACCCCCGCTGCTAGCCACGACAGTCGCTCTGCTCACGCGGTTAGCAGAAAACCTTTTAGAGCAGACCAAGCATCCCGTGGGCACAAGACGACATGGAATGATCGTAACAGCGCCGTGAGGAGCAAGGAATGTGGAGCATGCGGGAGGGAGCACAGTCGCACTGAGGAATGTCCAGCAAAGGGTCGCCAATGCGGCAAATGCAAGAAGCCCAACCACTTTGCTAAAGTGTGTAGGTCACAAACACAGCAGCCACAGACGAGATATAATCCCAGAAAATTGCATACCATCTCAAACAGTGCAGAACAGTCACTAGAAGAACTCTATATTGATGCTATCATAAAAGAGCATGAAAACACAGAAAGAGAACAGGCATATGCGGAAGTAGAAATAGGAAAAGCGAGGCACACACTGAAGATTAAAATGGACACTGTGAAGGTAAACTTCTGTTGTTGCAATGTTGAGGTAGAATGAAGGAGTCTGGAACCGTTGTTAGCCAAAAGCACTGAAGAGTTTTATTGGAGAAAGTACAGACAATAACGGCCGGGAGATCATCTTAGTTTCACACATGTCCAGTGCTCCACCAGCGATCTCTGAACCAAAAGACACAAAACATCTAACCAACACGAGGAGAGGCGGGCTTCCAGAAAGCCCGCGTATAATCAATAGCCGATGCAAGACAATGATCTGCTTGTCTCAGAGAGATGCTGCCAGGTCTCAAACCCCCCACGGATATCGGAGAAGCGTTTGACCTGTGACCTCAACCTACAGAGGGGTCTTTGAGTGACTACAAGCAGATGTTTGCAGTATCACAGACTCTAAGGAACCATAAAAGACTCTATAAACAGATCAGATGAAAATATTCTCTTACAGACACTGGTGCTCAGACTAGTATTATACCAGCAGACACATTCCGCAAGATATATGGAAGTGTAATACTAGGCCCCCCATCAAGCAAACTCTCAGATTATGGTGGGCACAGGATAGAAGCAGAAGGAACATGTAGACTGACATGTAAACACGGTGAGAAAACAGCCATGGTAGGTTTTGACATAGTCCATACAAATGCTCCACCTCTGTTAGGCTTAAGAGCATATGCTCTGCGTGACCGGCTCAAGGATGAGTTGGACGACATGGAAAAACTGGACGTTATCCAAAAAGTCACAGAGCCAACTGAATGGGTTAATGCACTAGTAGTGTTGGAAAAGCCGAAAACAAATAGGCTGAGAATATGCCTAGAACCCCGCGCCCTGAACAAAGCTATCCAAAGACCCCACTATCCACTCCCTACTCTAGATGACGTCACACCAAAACTGGCTGGAGCACAGTATTTCAGTGTACTAGACGCCAGATCTGGATACTGGAATATAAAGCTCACACACGACTCATCTATGCTAACCACGTTCAACACGATCTACGGCAGGTACCGTTTCAAGAGACTGCCTTTTGGAATCATATCTGCACAGGATGAGTTCCAGAGGAGAGTGGATGAGGCCTATGAGGGGCTTCCAGGCGTTGCCGTCATCGTAGATGACATCATAGTCTACGGCCGCGCCAAAGAGGAGCATGACGCCAGCCTGCGTGCCATGCTGGAGAGAACCAGAGAAAAAGGCATAAAGCTGAATAAGGACAAGTGCAAAATATGTGTGCCTGCCTAAGCTATTTTGGGCACAAGCTGACACGAGAAGTGCATCCGCCCTGACCCGAACAAGATTAAGGCCATCAAAGAAATGCCTAACCCACAAAGCAAGGCAGAGTTGGAGACCATACTGGGCATGGTCACTTACCTTTCCAGGTTCGCCCCGAGAATGTCAGAGGCAACAGCTCCACTCCGGAAACTGTTAAAGGAAAACAGTGAGTTTGTGTGGGACTCAAATCATGATGCAGCCTTCCAACGAGTAAAATACATCCTAACACAGGAGCCTGACCCAGTACTCACTTACTTCGATCACACAAAGGATGTGAAATTACAAGTCGATGCTTCCAAACACGGCTTAGGAGCTGTCCTGCTCCAAGAAGAGAAACCAGTCGCATACGCATCAAAGACAAAGAGAACTATGCTCAGATCGAAAAGGAGCTATACGCAGTGCTCTTTGGATGTAGGCGGTTTCACCAATACCTGTACGGACGACAGGTGATCGTCGAGTCAGATCATAAGCCACTTGAGTCAATCATGCGTAAGCCCTTAGCAGCTGCACCACCGCGTCTGCAACGCATAATGCTGCAGCTACAGCGATATGACATTACTATCGAGCACAAACCAGGAAAACAAATCCCCGTCGCAGACACTCTGTCCAGAAAGCCACTTGAGTGTTACGACCGCTCCATGAGCGAGGGCATGGACTACCAAACACACACTGTGATCAGCAACGCTCCGGTAAGCGACCGCAAAATGGCAGAGATCAGAGCCGCTACAGCCAAAGATGAGCAGCTCTCAGTGCTGAGACAGGTGATCCAAGCAGGGTGGCCCGAGAAAAACAAAAATGTCCACCTGCAGTCTCAGAGTATTGGAATCATAGGGATGAGATATCAGAGACAGATGGCATCCTACTGAAAGGAGAGAAAATCATCGTGCCGCACTCACTCAGGGCTGAAATGCTTTCACGCATTCACACAGGACACTTAGGGATGGAAAAGTACAAACAACGTGCAAGAGATGTACTGTTCTGGCCAAGGATGGGTAAGCAGATAGAGACACTAGTAGGGACCTGCAGCACCTGCCTTGAGCGACGCAGCTCACTCCCAAAAGAGCCTATGATGTCACACCCAATCCTAGAACAACCTTGGCAGGTAATAGCCACTGATCTGTTCACATGGAACAGTACTGACTATGTAGTTGTAGTTGACTATTATAGTAGGTACTTTGAGGTAGAAAAAATCACCAGCCTCACCTCCTCAGTAGTCATCCAAAAGCTGAAGGCCATGTTCGCTCGATTTGGAATACCACAGACACTAGTCAGCGATAATGGACCTTGCTACAGTTCACAAGAGTTTAAAGCTTTTGCTCATGCATGGGACTTCAAGCATGTCACAAGCAGTCCTCTGTATCCACAGAGCAACGGGCTAGCAGAAAAAACAGTTCAGACTGCCAAAGCGCTCATGGACAAAGCACACGCTCAGAGAACTGACCTGTACCTCAGCTTGTTGGAGTATAGAAACACACCAGTGGATGGTTTGAAATCGCCAGCGCAGCTACTCATGAGCAAGCGTCTGCGCTCCATCCTTCCCACCACTGAAAAGCATCTACAACCAGAGCTTGCCTGTCGCAGCACCGTTCACAGCAGGAGAGAACAGTGCCAAACACGACAAAAACAATATTATGACAGGAATGCCAGATCACTGCC